CGAGCTTTGACTTGTTCCTGAGGCTTTGAACGGAGGAAGACCATGAGCTGCTGCTGAAAGCTCTGGTCTCTTCCAGAGGACACACGTCATAAAGATCTGATATTAATATTCATTAACTCCTCAGACATGTTTGTTTTTCTTCTTCTTTCCAAATGAAATAAACTTTATTGACAAAACTAAATGATCAGTTAAGTTAAGATCAGATCATCCTTTGAGTCCCTCAGTGGGACGGTCCAACAAGGTACAGAGCCAAGAACAAGAGCAGCTTGTCATAAATAAGGAGTGTGAAGGTGTGGTGTGTGAAGAAAGGTACCGCAGGTCCTTCCTTCACACACCGTATATACATATTATATATATATATATATATATATATATGTATGTATATATGTATATGTAGGAAGGACCTGCAGTACCTCTCCTTCACACACCGGGGGTGAATCAGCCGGTGGCTGAAGGAGCTGCACAGAGCTGCCAGGGCGTCCTGCATGGGGTGGGAGGTGTTGTTCATCAGGGATGATAGCTTAGCCATCATCCTCTTGTCTCCCTCCACCTCCACCGTATCCAGTGGACACACAGCACACTGCTGCCTTCTTGATGAGTTTGTTGAGTCTGTTCCTGTCCGCTGCCCCAGCAGACCACTCCATAGAACAGTGGTTCTCAAACTGTGGGGCGCGCCCCTCTAGTGGGGCGCGGTGGTATTGCAGGTGGGGCGCAGGGGGAAATGCAGAATTTTTTTATTTCAAGAACTGTATTCATACCTGCAAACTTGTCGCTTTTTGGCGAAATTCGCCGTTTTGAATCAAAATATATCATCGTGTAGATCTGTAGAGGTTTTTTTTTGGGAGGGCCAACTGGCCAGCCAGCGTTTCTCAGATTGGAGTGAGACGAGGAGAAAAGGTGATGTGATCTTCACAATAAAACATCTCTGATATGACGTGTCGAGTCTTGGCCAATCAGCGTTCAGATGTGTACAGCGTCTTCATTTCCCTCCGTTACAGTTTAAGTTCCGTTATGTTCCGTTACCGTTCAGACTTGCTGGGTTAAGTTAACGTCCACTACATGCAAAACTTTATCGACTGTTAACGTTCGTCATTATCACGATTTAGAAGGAAAAAACGTAACGTGATGAAACATGCAGCCCCCCGTGTTCCGGTTCAGTTCACGCGGTCACTCATTAACGTTAAACCGGAACACCGGCGCATCTGGTTGCAGGTTGTTTGTTTTAACTCAAAGTAGAATGAGGATGAGATGATGAGGTCAAAGAGCTTCAGGGGGAGGAGGCTGGTTGTGTAGCGCAGCTCGATGCAGGGCTGAGCTGTGAGTGGAGCTGGGCCTGGATAAAGGTGGAGCTGGGCCTGGATAAAGGTGGAGGTGGGCCTGGATAAAGGTGGAGCTGGGCCTGGATAAAGGTGGAGGTCTAAACAGAAGTGAGTACAGCTTCCTGCTGTCACAGTGTTTTAAATACATTGATAAGGCAGGCTATGCTAAATGCAGCCTCTGCTCCATGAGATGAACTACAGCAACAAGGGCTCACATGTCCTCTCATCACACTGTTCACTGTGATGACCACAGCCAGTGGACCAACAGGCCCAACAGTCCCACATGCAGCTATTATTATTATCACAGCTATTATTTTACTTTTAGAATGCTACATTTTAAAGCTCATATTTAAAATAAAATGCTCCTGGTATGTGTGACACATATCTGCACTCATTTTGTTTTGTTTTTCACAGGTTGCAGTTTGTTGTGAATATCTTAGAAAGATATTCACAATAAGCTATTTTTTGCCAAATATTAGTTATTTTTTGCACAGATAGAACTTTATTTGAATTGTTCTAACAAAGTGATTGCACATTGTATTTGTTTTTGTCTGATGGAGCAATATGGTTTACTTGAAAGTAATTACAATTTTCTTTATTCTATTTGAAAAAGCACAGATGGAGGAGTCACAAAATGTTATTTCAATAAAAGTTCAACATGGACCATTTTGTTACAATTTTGTTGGGGCGGTGGGGCATGAACATTTTTCTTCCTCCAAAGTGGGGCGCGACAGAAAAAGTTTGAGAACCACTGCCATAGAAGATGGCTGATGCCACCACAGAAGAAGAAGGTCCTCAGGAGAGCTCCCTGCACTCCAAAAGACCAGAGTCTCCTCAGCAGATAGTCTGCTCTAACCCTTTTTGTAGAGTGCGTGTGTGATCAGTCCAGTTTATTGTTCAAGTGAACACCCAGGTACTTAAGATCTCACAATCTCAGTGTCCGTTCCCTGGATGTTCACTGGTACCTGAGGAGAGTGAAGTCCACCACCAGCTCTTTGGTTTTACCAGAGTTGATCTGGAGGCGGTTCCACTGGCACCATCCTATGAAGTCCTGGTTCAGTTCCCTGTATTCTCTGTCATCACCGGCAGAAATGAGGCCGACGATTGCAAAGTCGTCGGAGAACTTCTGCAGGTGGCAGTTAGGAGAGTTGTGTGTGTGACGTCCGAGGTGTAGATGGTGAAGAGGAATGGAGCTAGGACGGTTCCTTGTGGGGCCCCCGTGCTGCAGGCCACCAGGTCAGACTCACACTCCCGTATCCGCATATACTGTGGACGGTTGGTGAGGTAGTCCAAGATCCCTGCAGTGAGGTGGTGGTCCACTCCGGTCCGCTCCAGCTTGTCCTTCAGAAGCAACTGCTGGATGGTGTTGAAGTCACTGGAGAAATCAAAAAACATGACTCTCACAGTGCTTCCAGCTTTTTCCAGGTGAGAAAGGCATCTGTGTAGCAGGTAGATGACAGCGTCATCCACCCCGATGACAGATTGGTAAGCGAACTGGAGTGGGTCCAAAGATGAGCTCACAAGGGGGCAGAGATGTACCAGCCTCTTTAGCGTCTTCATCAGGTGGGATGTTGTTGTTGGGATGTTGCTGAAGCTGTTGAAGTCCTTGCGTCGCCGGGTCTTTGGGACCGGTACCACGCAGGATGTTTTCCACAGCTGTGGTACTCTCCCCAGCTTCAAGCTCAAGTTAAAGACGTGCTCCACTATCCTGCACAGCTGGTCTGCACTGGACCTGAGGAGCCTTGAGCTGATGCTGTCTGGACCCGTGGCCTTTCTCACCTTGACCTTTCTCAGTTGTTTTCTCACCTGGTAGGTTGTGAAGGACAAGCTGGGGGGTGGGGGCGGTGTGCCGTAGGGGGGGTGGGGCGCTGGTCATGGAGTGTGGTGTTTGAGGAGTGTGGGGGGGCTGAGTGTTCTGGGGAAGGGGGTGGAGGAGAGGGGTGCAGACAATGGAGGTTGCAGCAGCACTCCCCTGCTGCAGCAGCACCATCAGGATGACTGATGGAATCTGTTAAAGTATAAATAAGTTCAGGTCATTCTCCCACTCTTGGACCCTGTAGGCTGTTGGTTGGGCCCCTTGTAGCCAGACATCTCCTTGAGGCCCTTCCAGACCCTGCTGATGTTGTTCTGCTGCAGCTGGTCCTCCATCTTTGTCCTGTAGTCTTTTTTTCCCTCCCTGATCTTTTATGATTTGATTTATTTATTTTGCACAATTCAAACAATAAAATTAAAAATAATCAAACATAACAGAGCAGGAAGAGGCAGAAAGCCAACTGGGCTTATTTGAAGCCTCCACCTATATAATATTAACATTTTACAAAATGACAAAGATAAAATTTAAAATGCATAAGACATTACATTACAACAAAAGAAAGAAAGAAAGAAAGAAAGAAAGAAAGAAAAGAAAAACATAATGTAATTGTGTGGAGTGTGTGTGAGCATGTGTGTGTGTGAGAGTAGGCATGGGCTTGTGTTTGTTCAGGGGTGTTGGTTTATACACCTGCAGTAACTCATAAGCAACATTAATGCTACAAGTCCCTATGAGTGAGACAAATATAAATGTAATATAACAGCTAAAACAAGAAAGACATGAACACTAATACATAAACAAACTGTAACAAAACAGCAATTAGATTTTCTTTTAGGCATCTTTTAAAACATTTTATAGAGGGACATTTTTTTGTTAGGTGGGAAAAGTCATTCCATAATTTGTTTCCCTAAATCTTATTGAAAGTTGACCTCTGCTAGTCTGTAACTTAGGAGGATGAAGATGTGAAGATGACTAGTTGAGTAAGAGTGAACCTGTGAATTGAATATATAGTAGGTCTTGAAATGATCAGGAATATTCCTTCACCTGAAAGTATCTTATAAATGAAAACACAAGTTTGTGAAATATTGATGTCATAAATAGTAAGAATCTGCAGTTTCTGAAATAGAGGAGCAGAAGAGAGCTCCCTCCGTACGGTCTTCAGCTCCTCCTTGTTTCCTGGTCTAAAGACTCTTCTCCTCCTTGAGGAGAGCCTTTATCTCAGGAGTGATCCACGGTTTACAGTTGGAAAAACTCTGTACAGTCCTGGTGGGTACGGTGTTCTCCACACAGAAGTTCATGTAGTCCGTTAGTGAGACTGTCAATGTCCTCCACGTGGTCATCACTGAATACTCCCCACTCAGTAGAGTCAGAGCAGTCCTCAGAGCCTCCTCGACCTCCTCAGAAATTCTTAACAACACATTTAACACCAACACATATCCACAGGGCATGATGAGGAAGGTGAATAGACTCACTTCCTTCATCAAGCCCCCATCACCAAGTGAAATAACATATTCCAATTCCACTTCAACTTCCGAGACGTCTGTACCCCTGGAGGGGACACGGGTGGGCCTGAGGTGGTGACGGCCCAGCAACCCAGACGCAACCCCGAACGGGAGGTGGAAGTACAAACCCATGCCCTCCCCCAGAGACAACCCCAACGTCTACTGGCTCCACGGTCTGTCCGTTCCGCCGGCCCACCTGTACCCCCCTCCTCCCCTACCATTTCCCCCCCCCTCCTCCTCACACACATGCTTACTCAGTAATGTTGCTCTACCATGTAGTAACACAATCTCATCCTCTCCATCTACAGAAATAACACCCGAACAGCAGAGGGAGCCAGTGCTGGGTGCCGTCGGGCCCGCTAACACGAA